TACATGCCCCCCCCCTCCTACCCCCCAGCTCTTCAAAGTTTGATATGGAAGGCATCTTGCAGCCACTGGTCATGGGCATTGTGCGTCTGGGGCACAGTGAGGGGAGGTGGGCCTGGAGGAAGGCTGGCATCAGGAGGTTCGTCGTCATCAGGCCAGCATCAGGTGGGCAGGAGCTGTCTGAATGCAGGGAAGATGACAGGTCCTGGCACAGGCTCAAGTCTTGGCACAGGTGCTTGTAGTCCTGGATTGACTCATACAGGCCCCACAGCTGGCACAGCAGGGACATGTCCAACTGCCGCAACCCCACCATCTCTTTGCGAAGCGCCGCTAATGCCGAGTCGAGGTTGACAGGGCGCCGCGGAGGTCCGGCGTGGGCAGCGCACGTGGCGCCGCGGGGCCCTTCAGGGACGCGGGGCCCATGGCTCAGCTCGTCGTGGATGTGGCTGCGCTGGCTGTAGACGCGCTCCAGCTCCCGCCAGGAGCCCCCGCTCGCGTTTCAGGAGCCCGCTGAGGCCGCGAGGCAGCGGCGGGAGTCCGGGCCAGGGCGCAGCCCCGTGCCGCCCGGTGCCCTCGGCCAAAGGCAGCCCATTTCATGGCCGGGCCGGCGCGGACGACGATGCCGACTCCTTCCCCTCCAATGCTCCGGCTCGGGCTACCGCCCTCGGGGCCTGCACCCCGGGGCCCACCGGCTGAACCTCTTTCTGCATATATCTTTATGAATAAATGTTTTCAAGTTTTTTGGGTAGATACCCAAAAGAGGGGCTACACGATCATATGGTAACTCTATTTTTTTTTTTTTAATTTTTAAGGGAGCTTCTGTGCTGTTTTTCATAGTGGCTGTACCAGTGTGCCTTCTCAGCAGCAGTGAACGAGGGCTCCTTTTTCTCCACAACTTCTCTGACACTTGTTGTTACTTGTCTTATTGATAATAGCAATTCTAACAGGTGTCAAGTGGTATCTCATTGTAGTTTTGATGTGCATTTGTATGCCTGCTTAGGAGATGTGTCTGTTCAAGTCCCCTGTCCATTTTTTTTAACTGTATGAACATGTTTTTATTTCTCTTGGATAATTAGCCCAGAGTTGGATTTGTAAGTCATATTGTTAGTAAATGTATGTTTTCACTTTATGGTAAGCTGCCAATGTTTTCCAAAGTGCTTGTACCATTATTATCCTCATTTTACAGATGAGGAAATTAAGGCACTGAAGAACTAAAAGAAAATTGGTATATTGATCAAGATTCCCTGAGTACATGCAGCTGTACCCATTCAGTATGTGTATACATTAAAATTAGGCTTTGAAACAGTTCATAGGAGAATATTCACATAAAACGGATGTTATAAAATTTAGAACAAAAATTGTTATATTGAATTTAAAATTATTATATTTGATGCAAGGAATGAACTAAGTAAACTTTTTTGGTGTTGAAGTAGAAATGTTAATTTGGCACCTTTTATTTGTTTTTTATTACAGTTTTTTATAAGTTTTAATGGTTAATTTGTGCAGAAGTGAATTTAAAAAAAATATTAGTAAGGTATAAATGTGTCTCAAATCACAAGTTTGTCATAGTCATGCATGCTCCATTTGATTAGTCCAACCTTTACTTTGGCTAGTTGTGAAACAGAAAAGAGAAAATTCAAATGGGTAAGTAACCAAAAACAGTAGAAAAATCAACTCAAAAGTATTTAGTTGTGATAAATGATCACAGTCATTTTGTCCACAAAGGGAATCATTATTTGTTATAAAAATAAATTAAAACCACTGTATATTCTAGGTAGAATTTGGTCATTTTTAAAAGCCCCATATATTCTAATGAACATTTAAAATCTTCACCTGAAATGTCTTTTTAGCCCTCCTTTTAATTGCCAAAATTTGTGTTTCTTCTCATTTTTAAAGGATTGCTTGATGGTAGGTCTACATACTTGTGGTGATCTTGCTCCAAATACTCTACGAATATTTACTGCCAATTCTGAAATCAAGGGAGTTTGCAGTGTGGGTTGTTGCTACCACCTCTTATCTGAAGAATTTGAAAACCCACATAAAGGTACAAAGTTCTCCATATCTTATAATTTCATTTATTTCAGCATAATTGTTGCTTTCTAGCTCTCTATCTTTTTTGTTGACATTGTTGTCATTTTGAATTAACACTTAAAATAATATCTGATATTCTTGCAATTTTATTATTATTATATCAATTGAAACTTGATGCACTATCACCTTATGCATTTTGTTATACTTCCTTTGCTCATTAAATGGTCTTAGTGTATGCTGAAAACTGCAAATATTTGAAATTTTAATGTGGTATATATTTTACAGAACTTCTATTTAAAACTACTTGTAAGATATACATTTACTAAAATAGTAAAACTAAATTATTTTGTCATGAATATAGAGTTGCAAGGTTTGCTTTCATTTTCAAAACCTTTTCAGTTTTGTGAGGAATATTGATATTTCTCAAAAATTTTTTCTTACTGTATTTTTAAGAATTAACATATTATGATTTTAAAAGCTGCAAAACTGTGCAATGGCATTAAAATAATGGTATTCAAATTGTGCTCCCTGGGCTGAGATGCTGCCTGATGAGCAAAGTACATAGCAGGATTTAAAGCACCACATATAGCCCTGACAGGTTTGGCTCAGTGGATAGAGTGTCGGCCTGCGGACTGAAGGGCCCCAGGTTCGATTCCAGTCAAGGGCATGTGCCTTGGTTGCAGGCACATCCCCAGTAGGGGGTGTGCAGGAGGCAGCTGATCGATGTTTCTCTCTCATAGATGCTTCTAACTCTCTATCCTTTCCCTTCCTCTCTGTAAAAAAAATCAATAAAATATATTTTTTTTAAAAAATAAAGCACCACATAAACCTTCATCCATAGCAGCTCTTTTTATATGTTATATCTCTTAATAAGATATGGTTTCAAAATTGCTGGTTCAGATCAGATGTTTATTTAGTTTATTAATATTAGCAGTTTTCTTTTCTATTAGTTTAATGAAGTCTTTATCAACATCCAGTGTCCCTTGCTAAGAATTCTTAAGCTAAGAAGTTGTGTGCATATGGATGGTATTGTTTGTTCTTTTCTCAGTTTTAAAATCCAGATGAATAGGAAATTTCTACTTTTTATTTAGTTGTGTATAAGAGGTAAAAATTATCATTATATAATTCTACTGAAATTTGACTGGGTGAGACAGAGGTCATCCATTAGACCTGGCAAAGGTTTTTATAAAAAAGAGTTCATCAAATTTGATTTTTTTATGTCAGAGTTTTTAAAAGTATCTTTTATGAAAGGTGTATAGAAGAAAAATTTTGAATATATAGAGATATATCAATAGAGAGAGAAAAAATGGCAAAAAGTTAACAGTAGTTTAATTTAGATGGAGTACATATGTTTTTCTTGCCATTCTTCTAATTTTATTCAGAGTACAAAAATCTTCAAGATAAAAATTTGGAGAAAATAGTGAACCTAAAAAAAGAAAAAAATATAGTTATAATAAAATATTTACCCAAATATCTATACTATATTACAATCTTTTTGTGCATCTTTTCTAAAAGAAAGAAAAAAACTCTTTAATACAATCAGAATTTTACAGCTTTTAAAATATTAAGTGTATAGTGTTTTCCTGGACCAACAATAGCATAAGATTCTATGAAAGGGAGGTTTGGTTCTTAGTTCAAAAATTTCCTCTTCTGTAGGTGCAATGAAATGAGTTTTTAAAAATTTATTTTTGTTGAAAGTATTACAGATGTACCATTTCCCCCCCTCATCCCCCTCACCCCGTTGACCCTCTCCACTCCCCCACCCCCTCCCCAGGTCTTCACTGCACCATTGTCTGTGTCCATGGGTTATGCATATATGCATATAAATTCTCTGGTTAATCTCTTCGCACCCCCTGCCTTCCCTCTGAAATATGTCAGTCTGTTCCATGCTTCAATGTTTCTGGTTCTATTTTGTTCATCAGTTTGTTTTGTTTATTAGATTCCACATATAAGTGGGATCATGTGATACTTGTCTTTCTCTGTCTGACTTATTTCACTTAGCATAATCGTCTCCAGGTCACACCATGCTGTCTCAAAGGGTAAGAGGTTCTTCTTTTTTACAGCTGCATAGTATTCCATTGCGTATATGTACCACAGTTTTTTTTTTATCCATTCATCTACTGATGGGCATGCGGCCTGTTTCTACATCTTAGCTATAGTAAATGACACTGCTAGGGGTTTCTTTAATAATAAGCTCCATTGGGAGTGGGTGTAGACAGTTGGTGTGTCTTTTAATTCAGAGGTATTGTCCTTCAGTATATTAACTTCAGCTGCCTGCTTCCTTCTTTCCTCTTTATCATCATGCTCCCAAAGATGGCTTCCCCTTCCAAAGGCCTCCTCTCTTCTTTAGGCAGTACTTTCTTAAGACTATCATCTCTGATCCTGTTGGACCCTTGAGGCCATTGTACTGCATCTTCAGGTCACAGACCCACTTTCAGTATTTCCCACCATTTTGAACAAGTGACTAGGAATAGGGAAAAAAATCACTGTTGCTACACTGGCAGCTGCATTTTATACAGTAGAAGATAATAAGCACTGTGCTTAGCACTTTATCTATATATATATAAAAGGCTAATATGCTAAGTGTCCGACCAGCTGCTATGATGTGCACTGACCACCTGGCCTGTGCCCTCTAGCAATCCGGGACTCCTTAGGGAATGTCGGAGAGCTGCAGGCCAGGCCGAGGGACCCCATCAGTACACGAATCCGTGCACCGAGCCTCTAATATAATAACAAATAATAATACAAGAATAAACTGTGTTTTACCTACTCACAACTGTAAACCTATTTTTGCCCACCCCTCTATACTATATAGTACTAGTATTCCTTACTAAAATAGAAATCCACCACTATACAGTTTGATCATTATATTTTAACTAACTTACAAGGCCAGATGTTTGTATGCACACGTTAGCATATTTCTTGTCATATATCCAGCACTAGGTGCCATGGAGTTATATCTCTGAGTGATCAAGTATGTCATGTGTCTCTCCCTTCACATCTTACACACCTAACCCTCACCCTCACTTTGTTTGCACAGCTGTTTTTGAGTTTGAATTGGGGCAGTGTTGCCCTTTGGGATGTAAATTTGAGTTATTAATAGTCCAACATAGTATACTAGAAAAGTCTGGTATGTATACTGCAACTTTTTATGATGATATGTACTATGTAAACATTATGCGTTTTACATGAATATGTTTACCCAATACACTGTGGTAGACCATAGAGGTGGTCTTTCATGAATGTCAATTTTCAAAAGTACCTCAAAGCTCTCTGAGCCACTATGAATACCAAAGTTAGACCATATGTTTTAAAAACTGCCTTTAAATATTTATATATTATGGGCCAGTAGTTCCTAGGAGAACAAGAAATACCAGAAACAGTTTTATTGCAGTGCTTTATAGAATATATATATTTGTTTAAGCTTGACATGTTTCATTGTTTTTCTTAATATTGATTATTATCATAATTAATTCTTCAATACTTATTTCTTCCCCTAGAAGTCAGAGAGAGAATTTCTTTTGGTGGTTTTTCCCAGAAAGGTAGAAACATGCTGTAGGAAACACTACTGGTTACCTGTCCAGATCCACATACCTCTTCCTCCTCACTAACTGATTTTGTTCAGGCGTAGGTTATTGGGAAAACTGAGCCCTTCTGTAGCCTCACAAGCTGGTGAATCTGAATCTAAATTATTACTGTAATTCCATGTGTATAGTAATGGATAAGAGACACAGTTCTCAACAGTGAGGTGTGAGGAGCATGTCTTCTAGGAGGTTTCCTGGAATGTTTGTTTGTTGTTCTTAAAACTGAACAGAAGACAAGAACGTCGCTTTCCTTCTCTGCCTCTGGACTTGGTCATCCATATGTGTTTGTTCAGCCTACTATGTATTCTGTCAGAAATTGGTATTAGTGCTCTGAGTCCTGCAAGCCCAGTCTGAGGGGTGAAAGATAATTTTACTTTTCCTGGAACTTTACCTGATCATTTCAGGGGCTTAGGAGTGCAGGAGAGGAAAGAAAGAGCTCGGACCCCATATAGTCCCACCAGCTGGTATCACTGAGCTTCTTCCTTGGCCTTAATAGGAGCCCCTTCTGGGAGCAAACATTGTCATGGAATAGATTTGTGCTTTGTCTTTCCCCAGGAAGCCTTCTAGTATTATTAGTGCCCTCCAGAAAACTGCAGAACATTAGAGTCAAATATAAATGGTGTAACCTCTGAAAGCCTTTAGTCTACTTTCATGTTTGTTCCCAGCTTTGATGTGTTACAGGACATGAATGTGATTCTCCCAGAGATCCCTCCATTTACTTTTTTTTTTTTTTTAAATCAGGGGAGGGCTGCAGATCATCTTTTAATGGCACCTTTCAATCTGGTCCTGCCGTTTTTATATCAAACACATTTGTCAAGGACATATGATATCTATTCTATTGTAGATTGTACCTCAATTTATGTTACCAGTAGGAATTTACTGGAGGAGACTAGATATGTATATAGTCGCTGTCTTTGTGGATTAACAGTTGGTTTCATCACTGTAAATGTAGAGGCACTTCATCTGGAAATGTGTCTGGAGGTTGAATAAAAATATGTTGAGCACTAGAGGCCCGATGCACGAAATTCATGCAAGGGCCTTGGCCCCAGCCCCTGCCCACCGCCGTTGCTGCCACAGCAAGGGGGCCTCTACTGCCTCTGCCTTGGCCCTTACCCACTGCGGCTTTGTCCGGAAGGAAGGACGTTCGGTCTAATTAGCATATTATGCTTTTATCATTATAGATATTATTTGAAAATTTAAAATATCCTATATAATAAAAGCCTAATATGCAAATTGACCAAATGGTGGAACGACCGGTTGCTATGATGCACACTGACCATCATGGGGCAGACGCTCAATGCAGGAGCTTTTCCCAGCCCACAGGCCCCAGGCCAGCCAAGGCTGTGCCAGCGGGCCCCCTCCCCCCCCCCGATTGCCCCACAGAGGGAGGCAACCAGCATTGGCGGCAGGGGGTGGGGCTGGCTGGTGA